TTTTTTTTTGTTTTTTTGGAACTGTCATCGAGACGCTGCAAAAGATGCAAGCACAACGGTCAAAGATGTCCATTTAGTGCATGTTTACAATGGGAAAAAAGCACAATGGATAAAATAATGACTTATACTGGGAAAAAATTATTCTGTCTGAACCTAATTGTGAAAATTTACTTATTGTTATCTTTAACACTCTAAAGCCCTGTTCACACCAAGAACGATAACTATAAAGATACCGATATTAAGAGTCCACACCAGCAAACGATATTGTCTGTTTATTCTAAGCGCCCGTGCGTCTGCCTCTTTAAATTCTCGAGCTCGTCACAGCAGGATGGATTCTGATTGGCTGTCAATGTTTGTATCGTTCATCAGCTGGAGAAAAATCGTTCTGGAAGTGATTCCAACGATATCGTTTCTCTGTGCCTTTATCGTTATAGCTGTGGTGTGGACTCTGCTATTCTTTAATATTGAGAACGATTTTTAGAACTATATCTTTATCGTTATTGTGCTTGGTGTGAACGGGCCTTAAGTGTGCAGTGATCCAATCACTACCTACAAACAAAGCATTGCTGGATTCATTTCTTTAATATCTAATATAAAACAGTAAAACTGAAATACAAAGGCGACACAGAACGAATGTTTTACACTTTCAAAAATAGAGTTATTCCCATTTTCCAGCCTTTCTGAAAACAATTTGTCGCGTCTAAACAGGTTTTGACTTCTGCATATCTAAATCTTACAACAACAAAAGAAAGAAACACAATATACAGACATACTGTACCTACACATCAGCAATGAAGAACAATAAAGTTCAACAGACCTCTTTTTTCAAAGTTTCCAAAAATACAAACAGCTCTAAAAATCAGAAAGAAAGTGAAATGACCCTCGGTGGCAAGCGGTTGATCATGGATTGTGTGAACACCTAACATCTCTGTCGGTACACAGCACATCTGTTCAATGACTTGCAGCCCAATTGCATCAAAGACGACGCAGGGTTTGACCGCCGCCTGGTCAGTGTTGATTCCAGCAGAATGATGAAATATTCTAGCAATGTTTTTGTCAGAATAACAAAGACAAGCTTCATCCACAGGGGATTAACCTATCAAAGTACAGGAAGTTAATATTCATGGATGCTCTGTGTTCTCTGAAAGAATGATACAACAGCTGCATTTCACAAGCTGAAATATGAGAGAATGTGAATTATAATTCAATGGTAAAGTGAATATTACAGCAGGGCATGAATAAATTCTACTGTTCTAGCGTACACAAACATTCAAGCATAAAAAACAAAAAACAAAAAAAAGCCTGTCGTTGGGCTAAGTATATTTATAATGTCAAATAAAGCAGATTTTTTTTCTTTAGTTCAAGGGCATTCAAATAGAAGAACGACAAATGTGTGTTTTTTAATTTGGCCAAACATTGATTGAATGCAGTACTAGCATCCATTTTTTTGGGCAGTCCAAATCAGTCACAAATAACACTTTGTCTGAGGGGAAGAGATGATGACTAGAAATTTTCTCCTTATACAATTGCTCCTACTGCTGGACAAACCTGGAAGCTGCATGTGCCCAGCACTGCGATGATCATATTTAATAAAACTGCACTGACTGAAGCAACATCATATTTGCAATACTATCTGCCTGAAATTGCAGATACAAGCACTATAAGCCAAATCGGGCTGGTGTTCGTTTTGGTGTCATGGGCGCTTCCTCTCTCCTTCCAGGGGTGAAGATCTTTATTGACCTGTTTGGAAATGATGAAAAGACATGTTTATGTTAGGATGTTAATTTAAATAGAAAGCTTGTGTGTGTGTGACTGTAATGTGCCACGCATCAGAAGTTGTGAGATTTGCTCTAAGGTTAAATGAGAAGAACAGACAGAGCGGTGACAGGAACTTCGAGCAGAGAGAAAAGGACAGTTTGTCTTTGTGGGGAGCTGCGGGATGCGATCTATCATCTTTAATTACAGCGGTGCACAGCGCTCCCCCCTCCTCACACCGCCAGCAATTACATCCATCAGGCCATGACCCTCCTGCTCCTCCAGCACAGACTCAGCTCACACCTCCGTCACTTCACTTTCTGCTGCCTGCCATCCAAACATTTGAACTTTTAGCTAGTTTCATACTTTTCCCCCCCCTAACGAATTACATTTTATGAAGAAAATGTGAGTTGCAGAACTCCCTGGCATGGTGATATGGCGTTTTAAGTCTTTGCAGAAGATCACTTCTCCATTTTCACATTATTTTGTGTGTTTTTCAGCATGTTGCATTGCGGTTGCAGTATTAAAGGAATAGTACACCCAAAATTTTCTGAACATTTATACATGCGTAGGCCATTAAATGTAGATGAGTTTGTTTCTTCATCTTGACAGATTTAGAGATATTTAGCATTACGTCACTTGCTCACCAATGGATCCTCTGCAGTGAATGGGTGCCGTCAGAATGAAAGTCCAAACAGCTGATAAAAACATCACAATAATCCACAAGTAAACCACATGACTCCAGTCCAATGTCTTGTGAAGCAAAAAACTGTATATATATATATACATATATATACATATACATATATATATATATATACATACATACACATATACATATATATACGACAAGGAGACGTTAGGAAAGAGATGAGGAAGATGGAGGCAGGGGAGGGTGTGAAGGGGATAATAGCCTTCCTAAAAATTGCGACATTAGTATTTCAGCACGGCAGCCATTTGATGGCTTCCTCCTAAATAGGATGATTCAGATTTTGCGAGAGTGCGAGCAGTTGCTCTAAACCCTGAGTGACAGCAGTATTTGTGAGGAAGATGGCTGAAGTACCTGACATATTCTAATTTGTTGAGATAGTGAATTGGTGGGTTTTAGTTAAATGTGAGCCAAAATCATCACAATTAAAAGAACCAAAGACTTAAACTACTTCAGTCTGTGTGCATTGAATTTAATACACGAGTTTCACAATTTGAGTTGAATTACTGAAATAAATCAACTTTTCCACGACATTCTAATTTATTGAGATGCACCTGTATGTGTTGACATTTTTAAGATCACGTAAAGAAGAGAGTTGTATTAGCAACACGTAAAATTTTAAAATACAACCAATCTCCATTACTTTTTAAACATTATGTTTATAAAAAATACCACTAGAATATGGAAATAGCTTTAATTGTACCTTATGACCACACGGCAAAAAAAAAACAACAAAAAAAACAACTAACTTAAGAAGCAAAATTACATCAGATTAGAAATCTTGTTTGTGTGAAATTGATCAAATTTAAGCAAGTTTATGATTTAAAAAGAGCAAAGATCTGCCAATAGGCTTAGAAAAAGTTTTCATTCCCCACTGACTAATATTTGTTCTTGTTTTAAGCAAACTCCATTGATTTTGTTCACTTCTCAGAAACATTATTTAAGGATGTTTAGAAATTTGTATTGGAAAACAAGACATAAATAAATGAAGATGATAATTTTTAGCAATGCATGCAAAATTTAATGCCACGACCATGAATTCAAGACTGTCTGCTCTGATTGATTTGTTTTCATTTGTTTTGTATTAATTTGTGAAAGGGCAAATTAAGACTTTTTAAAGGCCTTTTTAAGACCAGCAGAAACCCTGTATTTAAACAGACAGAAATATTTAAAATGCTAATAATTAACATCCTATGTCTCAATATAATTCCTAAGCAGGGATAGTATCATTAACTAAAACTAATACTCTAAAAACATTTTTGTTAATTGAAATAAAGCTGAAATAAAATACAATATAAATATTAGATGAAAAAAGTAAAGTAAATGAAAATGTTGCCTCGGGAACTAACAGAAGTTAGTTGAGTAAAATTACTAACAGGAAATAAATAAATAAATTAATTAATTGAATAAATATTATACAAAAATATTAATGAAAATTAAAAGATAAATAAAAATAAGACCATTGAATATATTCACAAAAACTTTAATAGTATATAAATAATAATAAAATAACAGGTCTGAAGGATCCCAACATCGAGCAGCTGGATTAGGAATAATTCTCCACTGACAAGTTGGTCTTTTAATAAAACTTGTCTGTCTATGCAGTAGAAAGCCAAAAACTTTTTTTAAATCAATATTACATGAATATAGAAAAAAAAGACTGTGGCAAGGAAACTTTAACACCCACATACAAAGCTTGTTGAAAACTGGCAACCTCATCCTTTAAGGTTGTGATTTTAGGATGGGACAGACGCAAGTTATATTACTACTCACTTCCCCACGTGAAGAGGATATTTATGTAGAAGTCTTAAAGTGGTCATATGATGCGATTTCAATTTTTCCTTTCTCTTTGGAGTGTTACAAGCTCTTGGTGCATAAAGAAGATCTGTAAAGTTGCAAAGACTAAAGTCTCAAATCCAAAGAGATATTCTTTATAAAATTAAAGAGTCAACCACGCCTACCTAAAACGGCTCGTTCTAACACGGCCGTGTGTGACGTTGTGTGTTTCGTTGTGAAAGCGAAACTACTGTGTTTGGCCTTCCAAAAGACGACACGACTAGAAATCAGTGGTTAAATTGTATTTACAACACTGTTCCAGAACAGTTCAACCCAAATATTCAGATGTGTGCAGCGCATTTTATGGAGGACTGTTTCCTGATCCTGGGAGAGTAGACTACAATGCCGGCTGTTCTGACTCACAGACTGTAAGTACGTTTTCATATTTAAAGGATTTGCCACTGACGATTCAAACGTGAGTTTTGAGCAGTGTAGAGTAGACATTTTTTCAGGATAAACACATTTCATTACACCAAATACACAAAATAATGTTCTTTTTAGCAACATCATATGACCCCTTTAAATGGTACAGCAGTAAAAAAAATGCACATTTAGCTGTAATGGTCAGAGACGTCGAGAGTTTTTAATGCTAAACAATTTTGGCTACCAGTCTCTGTGGACTTCAGGGGGAGTTCAGTGGACTTCAGAATGATATTTCCCCCCTGTAATAAATGAATTTGATTAAGAGTGACGCCTCAAGTTAACGTACCTTTCTCATAGCTTTGGTGTGGATGAAGTGATCGTTACACCAGATGCTGGAATAATTGTTGTTCTTCCACTGCAGGTAAACGTTGAGGTAGGTCAGGTGATCACTCTCAGGCACCGAGAACTTCTCTCTCACCTGGTCACTCTCCTCCTCTCGACCCTAGATGAGTAACAGCAGTTTTGAACAATTAGAAAACAGCAGCACCCGGATGTACAGCACTTTTACAGGTCACACACACTCAGCTTTCTGGTGTGTGAGGTACAAGGGAAACATACTTCACCAATGTATACTTGGTACCTTTGGTCGGTAGAAGATTGATGGCACAGACAACATCGAGACGATGATGAGAATGTCGGCACTGCAGCCCATGTCACATGACACGATCAGCATTTTAGACAGAGCCGGATCCAGAGGAAACTCCACCATGAGCCGCCCGGTGGGCGTCAGAGCGCCTGAGACAGAGACGAGAAGAAACCATCCTCAAATACAGGGGAAAAAGTCAAAAGGGATTAGAAAGCTCCTCTTTCAAAAGTGCCGATGGTGGGAAAATGATTCCACTTTGAGATTCTGATCAAACTTTTTCAGAAGCTCAGATTTCAAAGATTACATGACAGACTAAGAAGATTAGTGAGAGAGCGCCGTGAAAAGCAGAGCAGATATTTGGGCAGGTAAGCCTTAATCAGAAATAATCTGCTGTTAGCACGAGACGAGAGCTAGAGGGAAAAGTGCACCACATAATCAAATCCTCACAAACCCCGAGAGATCTGCAGGAAATGAGATTGAGATCCCTCTCTGGTCACACAGACAGTTTTACTTCAGTTGCTAAAGCTGAACTTTGAGTAAGACCTTAATACTTCACTGCAGCGCTTAACAAGCTTCAATCTACCCAACTAGAAGATACACTTGAGTGTAACTCAAAAGAGATTTCTCCCGAAATAAAAATAATGTCACTACCATCAGTTATCTTTAAACACTGTCTAGTGAATATATCAGAGTCAAGTGTTATTTTACTATCACTGATATACTATTATATTTTTTCCTAACATTTGGATTAGATAAGATATTTGTATATTTCATTTTTTACATTTTAATTAAAGGCTGTTTTTGTCATTTTTATTATTTTTTAATGTCTATATTTAGTTTTCGTTATTTTAGTACTACAACAAACTAAAGAAAATGAGAAATGTTGCCTTGGCAACTGATATAAGTTTAATGTTTTTATATTTGATTTTATTTCAGATAATGTTTATTTTTATTTCAAACAATGAACATGTTCATTTGTGGTTTAAGTTTTAGCTAACACACAATGTGAAAATTTCAGAGCAGAATATTAGACATTGTTGCTGACAATACACATTGAAATAATACAGTAAACTACAATAATTACCCAATAACACAAACTATACGAAAAGCATGTGAAAATTACTGAAAAAAAATAAAAACATTAAAGTTAGCATGAAATGTCAAGTGAACAATTTTCCCCTATTGTGCTGTATAAATGAGTGAAAGTCTCATCGAACGAGAAATAAAAACATGTAGGGCTAGGACTTAATCTTGTCCATTGGGAACTGATTGGATCATAGAAAGTGGGCGTTGCAAAATGGTCAATCATGTGAGTGACAGGTTGATGGAAGGGAAGCACTGAAACTTGTCTGGCCATTACGGTTAATGCTTTTGATTAAAAATTACATGCATGGATAAATTATTTATAACAAATACTCCAATATTCCATAAAAACTAAGAATTAACCATTTTGATTTTCTTGTTGACTTGAAAGATTCTATTTAACTTTAAATGACACCCAAAATAAAATTTAAAAAAAATCAAAGATTTAAATGGTCTTACGCTGATTCTCTTTCTCAGGGCAGTGTCTGAGGCTGGTGGTCTCACCTGTGTTGTCAAGCGCTCCCAAGATCCACAGCTGGTACATGGAGTTCAGCATGTTGTCTTCAGGCGGCGGGTCCATGAAGTGGAAGAGCAGGAGATCTTGAACTCCCAGTGACTTGAGCAGAAGCACAACATTGGCCAGGTTAGTGCGCTGGATCTCTGGGATAGTGGTGGTGAGCATTTCATTCTTGAAGGCACTCTGAGTGTATAACCTGAAGTGAACCGACACAAAGGTAAAAAAAAAAAAAAAAGGTCAATTGATTTTCTGTAAACATTACATGTCCAAGCCAGACACAATGTGATACAGTGGCGAGTGATACATTTCTTGTTAGGGTGCTTACACATTGTAGAGAGCGGTTTAAATGTGTAATTCTCAATATAATCTCAATATTAGTTTTTACTGTATTGGCGAGCATAAGAGACTTCTTACAAAAACATTCACAAATCTTTATTATTCCAAATAAACAAATAAATATTATTTTCATATGTAGCAACTAACAAATTAAATAATATGAAGTACTAAAATTACTAAAATGGATATAAAAATAAATTAAAGCTACTGTACATAGAACTATGACAAAAAAGCCTAATAAATATGACAAAGACTATTTAAATTAAAACAAAAACTGAAAATCAAAAAATAAAAGCAACTTCAAAATAGGGCTATCAAATCGATTAATCATCACAGTCAGAGCTTTTGAGTTATGGATTCAACACGCAAAAAGCACCTGGCTGAACAGAATTTATTCTTGATGCACAGATGTTTGTTAAAGGATATATGTAACTAATCTGTCATGGGCCACACACTTTCACGAGCAGCCAGAGACACTCACAGGGAGGCAAATCAACCCCCTTGTGTGAGTTTCCTTTGTGTGACCGCACAACAGCGAGACAGCGTGTCACCGCATCTCCGCGTCTGTGCAGATTTGAGAAAGGTCACAGTCAAAAAGCCCACAGGAGCCTTTGTCTCACATTCTCAGAGGTGCAAACAAAAATTAAACTGCGTGAAATCCTCTCAAGATCATCGTCCCGTCCCGTCCCCTCACAAACCTCTAATGCTTTTTGTCTCATGATCAGGATCTTAAGAGTATCCAACAGTAACAGAGGTTTACCTTCTGGAAGATCTTGGCCTGCAGGTCAGAGGGCAGCTGGGAGTAGATGGGCAGCACTGCTAGGGCCGGAGCGTTCTCTAGATCCTCTAGTCGCTCCACAATCTGATCTGACGTCACCTGCAGCAGCACAAACATCACTTGTGATCACAAACTACTATCTATCTATACACAGACACATACAGTACATATATATATATATATGAAAAGAAAATTAATACTTTAATTCAGCAAGAATGCATCAAACTGATAAAAGGTGACAGTAAATGCATTTATCAAATGCCTTTCTTTTGAACTTTCTATTCATCAAAGTATCCTGAAAAAGACGCCTCATGAAAAATTAAAGCAGCAAAAACTAAACATTGATAATAAGAAATGTTTCTTTGGCACCAAATCAGCATATCAGAATGATTTCTGAAGGATCATGTGACACTGAAGACTGGGGTAAAGATGCTGAAAATTCAGCTTTGCCATCACAGGAATAAATTTTGTATAAAATACATTAAAAAAAATATTAATTTATTTCCGTCATGGCAAAGCTGAATTTTCAGCATCATTACTCCAGTTTTCAGTGACACATGATCCTTCAGAAAACGTCTTAATATGCTGATTTGGTGCTCAAGAAACAATATTTATTTGAATAAAATTACAGCAAAAACAGTAATATTTTGAAATATTATTACAGTTTAAAATAAGTTTTTTCTACTTGTATTATTTTTAAAATATATGTTATTCTTGTGACTCCATTATTCCAGTCTTCAGCGTCACATGGTCCTTCAGAAATCAACATATACATAGTATATACATAGAATATTTTACAATTTATATATAAAATTCTAAAATTACACAATTTAAATATATTACAATAAATACTTCTTTGGTTAATTCATGAATCTAGAAAGCAACAATGCCATTACTTTATTAACATATAATAGCAACTTATCCTTTCTAAACAGTTTATTTATATTTACATCAGTGTTATTTTAGGTAATTTTTTAAAAATATATCTACATAGTTTTTATTAATTTTAGTTTTATTTTTAGTTACTTTACAACTTAAACTAAAAGAAAATGTATATATAATTTGTATTTATTTTATTTTAAAATATATATATTTTTTATTTTATATATATAATTTTTATTTTGGTTTATATAACAAATAACAGATAAATAACAGATTTTTTTAATGGTTTTATCTCATGATAATAACCCTGATTTACATTATTCCACTGCATCATCCTCTCAGTATTGCCTTCTGGGTAAAATAATATGCACATTCACTAGGTGGTAGTATGTCTCCATAACATCAATATATTTTGTCAAATAAATGTAGAGATAATTGGTTCAGGTTCATAAGATGTTGGGCACCAACCTCTTCTCCCAGGTTACTGTTCATTTCTTCGCTGACTCTCTTGGCTACGCTCATGGCTGCCACTCTGCGGGGCTGTGTGCAGCCCACCATGCCATAGCTGGTGTAACCATCCTCATGTAGATACTGCGTCAGCTGAGTCGTCTTACCACTGCCCGTTTCCCCCACCACAATCACAATATTGTTATCCCTGCCAGAGAAAACACAAAGAACACATCAGCATACCAGGTGAGCAGACACATGAGCTCACAAATTTAGTGGCAGAGTTTGTATTTAACGAAGCATATGTAAGTGTCATCAGGACCTGATGATGTTGAGCAGCTGCTGGCGAACAGCAAAGATGGGCAGATACTGCCTCTGCTGTAATAGAGTCTTCTTCTTGGCAAACTCACTGCTCGCTTCATTCTTCTCCTTCATGTGGTCAGCAAACTTCTGCTCCGCTCTGAAAACATGAAAGATAAGAAAGAGGCCCATGAAGAATCACCAGAGAAGATTTTTCAAATTAAGAGCTGATTTTGTAGGAAAGAACTGCAGCATTCTGTGGAATGAATTTAAACATGCTAAAATATGCCAAGCGGAGCTGGGAAAACTACATGCTTGATATCTAATATATAAAATATCCCTACACTACCGTTTAACTCTCTCCCCATTTCGAGACGAGATAACTCATTGACGAGTTATCTCGTCTTTTAGAAGACAACGCTTCCCCGCTTTTACGGCTTTTCATGTTTTCACTGTTATACACTAGGGGGTGCTATTACACATCTTCTGAACGAGTACAAAACCTCCCGAACAAAAACACGTGCACAGGACGGAGAAACGAGCGATCTCTTATGTAAACAGATGCATATGAAAAATAATGCAATCTTCAGCAATAGACAGCATATAAATGAAAACTGTGTAATGTTAAGGAGAAAAAAATGTTGATCCAGGAAGTGGTATATGTCTGTGCAAGCTTTGGAGGTGTTGATAGAAGCGATTTACTGGATTTCTGCTTTGATAATCGTACTGAATATTACCCAGATGTAGTTTTTGATAAAAATGTGATTTTCTCACCTTTTTGCTCAACATTATGCATTTTTATGAAACCTACCTATATTCAAGTGTTGATAAACAAAGAATGCTTTTAAGCTAGACTAAAACTAAGATAAGAAAGAGGCCCATGAAGAATCACCAGAGAAGATTTTTCAAATTAAGAGCTGATTTTGTAGGAAAGAACTGCAGCATTCTGTGGAATGAATTTAAACATGCTAAAATATGCCAAGCGGAGCTGGGAAAACTACATGCTTGATATCAAATATATAAAATATCCCTACACTACCGTTTAACTCTCTCCCCATTTCGAGACGAGATAACTCATTGACGAGTTATCTCGTCTTTTAGAAGACAACGCTTCCCCGCTTTTACGGCTTTTCGTGTTTTCACTGTTATACACTAGGGGGTGCTATTACACATCTTCTGAACGAGTACAAAACCTCCCGAACAAAAACACGTGCACAGGACGGAGAAACGAGCGATCTCTTATGTAAACAGATGCATATGAAAAATAATGCAATCTTCAGCAATAGACAGCATATAAATGAAAACTGTGTAATGTTAAGGAGAAAAAAATGTTGATCCAGGAAGTGGTATATGTCTGTGCAAGCTTTGGAGGTGTTGATAGAAGCGATTTACTGGATTTCTGCTTTGATAATCGTACTGAATATTACCCAGATGTAGTTTTTGATAAAAATGTGATTTTCTCACCTTTTTGCTCAACATTATGCATTTTTATGAAACCTACCTATATTCAAGTGTTGATAAACAAAGAATGCTTTTAAGCTAGACTAAAACTTTTGTTTAAAAGTAGAGGCTCTGATCTTTATTTTGGTGTATTGCATATTCAGATATTCATACAGCAAAATATTCTGGAGGCCATCAAATTTTAGTGAAAATCATCAAAATCGCTGGCGGTGGCTGGCAACTTTCTTTAAAAATGCTGGCGGTGAAAGAGTTAAAATATTTTTCAAATGTTTTTTGCCAGAAGTCTCCTAAAGTATAAGCCATAAAAAAAATTTAATTGATCAGTAAAACCTGTGATTTTGTGAAATATTACTACAATTTCAAACTGTTTTCTACAGTAATATATTTTAAAAAGGTCATTTATTCTTGTGAATTTTCAGCATCATTACTCCAGTCTTCAGTGTCACATGATCCTTCAGAAATCATTCTAATATGCTGATTTGCTGATCAAGAAACTGGTATATGTCTGTGCAAGCTTTGGAGGTGTTGATAGAAGCGATTTACTGGATTTCTGCTTTGATAATCGTACTGAATATTACCCAGATGTAGTTTTTGATAAAAATGTGATTTTCTCACCTTTTTGCTCAACATTATGCATTTTTATGAAACCTACCTATATTCAAGTGTTGATAAACAAAGAATGCTTTTAAGCTAGACTAAAACTTTTGTTTAAAAGTAGAGGCTCTGATCTTTATTTTGGTGTATTGCATATTCAGATATTCATACAGCAAAATATTCTGGAGGCCATCAAATTTTAGTGAAAATCATCAAAATCGCTGGCGGTGGCTGGCAACTTTCTTTAAAAATGCTGGCGGTGAAAGAGTTAAAATATTTTTCAAATGTTTTTTGCCAGAAGTCTCCTAAAGTATAAGCCATAAAAAAAATTTAATTGATCAGTAAAACCTGTGATTTTGTGAAATTTTACTACAATTTCAAACTGTTTTCTACAGTAATATATTTTAAAAAGGTCATTTATTCTTGTGAATTTTCAGCATCATTCCTCCAGTCTTCAGTGTCACATGATCCTTCAGAAATCATTCTAATATGCTGATTTGCTGATCAAGAAACATTTCTGATTATTATCAATGTTGAAAACAGTTGTGCTGCTTAATATTTTTGTGGAAATCATGATACATTTTATTTTTCAGGATTCTTTAAAGAATAGAAAGTTCAAAAGGAACAGCATTTATTTGAAATAGAAATGTTTTGCAACATTATAAATGTCTTTACTGTCACTTTTGATCAATTTACGGCATCCTTGCTAAATAAAAGCATTAATTTATTTCACAAAATATCTTACTGACCCCAAACTGAACAGTAGTAATGACACTTTGCCATGCATCATGTAGATCATGACCAAGTGTGTCTACAAGAGGGAATGAATCTAAACGTTTGTCCCATAAGAGACATACTGTGAAATAATTTTGTAATATTTTGTACTACCGTATTGGCCCGAATATAAGACGACCCTGATTATAAGACGACCCCCCTTTTTCCAGATGTACCTTTTGGAAAAAGGCTTTTTAAAAAAGAAATCTTGTTTTTTCTCAGTAAAACACATTTTGTCTTCAATTATTTTCATATTGCATATTTTTCCTATTTTAATTTTTGTTTTGAAAGTATGGTAAAAACTGGTAAAATGTACCAACAACCACATTTAAAACACTTTTTGATATACCATAAAAAAAATAGTTTTTTTTAAAAACAGGTAGCCCATCTGAATTAGGACATTTAGTCTATCCATCTAATAGTAGCCTACCAAAATCTTATTAACAGTAGAAGTTAAATCTTACTGTAGTCTTCAAATCTGGGTACAGTCTTACGTTTTAAAATCACAAAGAGAGTTTGGTCCCATCTGGCTAACGTGACGGTCACGACTCATGCATCTGTAAGGATTTCTTTTTCTTTTGATTTTACTCGCGATCTTTACAACACGCATTACATTACGTATTTCATGGCACACTCGTTTTATGCACATTTGGCGCCACCTATTGTTGTGGGTGTATTATTGACATGTCAAAGTCTAGACCCTGAATATAAGACGACCGCGTTTTTTCAGATGTATTTCCAAGAAAAAACCATCGTCTTATATTCGGGTCAATACGGTATTTAAAAATAGATGGAATCAGAAAATGATATGATATGAGTGACATTATTTCTACCTGTAGTCCACATTTCCATCTTCTCCAACAGTTTTTCCATCTGATCCATCCTCCTCGGTTTTCTTGATTCCCATGATGTCTCCCAGTTTGGTGCCAGCGAGCTCCCAGTGTTTGTGTTGTGCCTGTCAGGTGAAGAGAACCAAACACAACAACAATTACATCTGCACTACTGCCCTGAAGTAAGCGGAGTGTAAATGAAACATGAAAACCAGATGTGCACCTTCTTTCTTTCTTTCTGCTCTCGGTGTCGTCGGACCAGCTGACTGCCCTTGCGGGAGATGATGGCCATGTCTGAGGTCGCGTCTTTCACTGGAATGACCGGCTCAGGCTGGAATCAAATGCAAAATCATCAATTAAAGACTCACAAGTTTGGTGACTCACAAATAAGCACACTCATGCTTAGAGACGTCTGTACCTGCTTCGTGAAGACTATCCTCCCGTCCAGGAAGGGTGGCACGAGGTTATGGACAAGCAGATGCACTCTGGTTGCATTGTCTTCCTCGAAGTCCTCATCCACCTCCAAACGCTGAACCACTCCACTGGTGAGCATGCGGTTGGTCTCCCAGCGTTCGTTATCCTGAAGAGAAACGCATGTGTAAGAACGACAGACGTGATGAGGGCTTTAAGGTGCAGATGGGTGAGGATGTGCATCGGTACCTCATTGATTTGCCGTTTCTGCGCTGAGATGCGTTTCTGGGTCTGCTTCTGTAGGATCTGCTCCCTCTTCTTCACATATTCTTCTGAACTGGATGTCAAGGGGTTGTGGAACTCATCAAAACCTTCATCCATCATGTACCAGTCTCGATCAGCTTGCTGTATGGACATAACGCAGTTAGTACTCACTAAAATAACAACTTGTTATGGTTTTAATAATTTGATGGGTTTATGAATGAAAAAGGATATTGGTAACATTTATTAGTCATCAAATTGACTTTCACAAAACATTGTTTCAAAGCAGATTTACAGAAAATCTCGATCTTAATGTTTATAATATCTTTATGCATTTAGCAGATTAAAGCTGGGAGATAATATATTTCACATATTGCGACTTTACAAGCAATCGAGCAGCTGAGATATGGAACACAGTGTATGTGACCCTACACAAGTATGTATACGGATAAAACATGCACATACTTATATATCCAACTTTATGTAAAGGGCTAGGTGATAATATACAGTATATAATATAAAAATCAGGAACTTGAAATCTGCTATATATATATATATATATATATATATTATATAATATATATCCAACTTTATATATAGAGATAAAACTGTTTACATCTTGCAGCAAAAAAAAAAGTTTTCTTTGAATTAATATGTGCTAACGAGTTATGCACATTAAGACCAGGAACACATATTCAGAATCCTAAGAACATAAACAGAGCGTTTAAAGAGGAAAATGACTATATGAAGTTTAAGCACTCACCCGCTGATCTTCCTCCCACTGTTCCTTCTCTTCTTCATTAGTAAATAGGATGCCGTCCTCTCTATCCTCCCTCTTATCACCTACAAAACAAGAGTCAATATAAATACAACACTAAAGTTGCTGGACATACACTACCATACAAAAAGATTCAGTAAGGTCAGTATGATTTTTGGTTTTGAAAGAAGATTCGGTTCACCAAGGCTGTGTTTATTTGACCTGAAATAGTCAAAAACAGTAATATTGTGAAATATCACTACAGCTAAATTAACTGTTTTTTAGTTTATTACATTTTAAAATGATCAGCACCCTTTACTCCAGCCTTCAGTGTCACATGATCAGAAATCAATCTAATATGCTGATCCGATGCTTAATAAACATTTCTTCTTATTAGTTGAAAATATTCTGCTTGGTGTGGAAAGTGTATTATTTTTCTTTTGATGAATAAAGAAAAAAGAAGAAATATTTCTTTTAACATTATAAATGTCTTTACTGTCACTTTTGACAATTTATCAATTGTCTTCATATCGTTTGATCAATTTACTGTACTTTTGCTGAATAAACGTTTCAATTTCTTAAAAAATAATTTACTGACTCCAAATATGAACAGTAGTGCATACATGATATGTATGTATTTTCATGTTAATCATGTTCCTTAATCACTTGTTTAATATGTGTTCTTGATATTTAAGATGTGAGATATTAGGACTCTGGGTTAAAATATTGAAAAAATATCCTAAAATAAATAAAAAATACATTAGGACAAATTTTAATAACAAAAATGAAATAAATAGACAAAAAAAATTATAGAAAAAAAAAACATCTAGACTTTGGAAAGTAACTCACTTTTGATTTTATATATGACATAACAAACAAAAACAGTCATAAAAAACAAGGTTTAAAATATATTAAAAATTAAAAAAATTGAGTTAAGTACACACACACACACACACACAAATAAAATAAAAAATAAAAAATTAAAACATTCTCCACCAAAGGAACTTGTAAGTGGTGTCTTTACCTTTTCCTCGGGACAGGCGTGGGGTGGAGCCAAGGTGCTTCCTGTCATTGGCCCACTCGTTGTACTTATATGATGGGGTTGGTAGAGGAGTTTCTGCTGGATATTGAGGTTTACTTGACCTGAACAACAAAAGTGACAACACAAACCACATCAGCACAAATAACCTTCAATCCAACGGTAATCACTGAGGCTCTGATGAAGTGATTCACACCTGTCTCTCCTCTCACTGTCACGGACTGAGCGATGGCTGCGCTCGGAGCGGTCGTACTCCCGGTGTGACGGGGCAGGAGACGGGCTCTCCCAGTGAGAGTGGCGTGAGCTGGAATATCCACTGTCATCCTCATCCCAGCTGGAGCGTGATGGAGTGGCCAGATCTGTGTGGACATATGAAACACACCTGACCCATGATGAACCCAAACAGAACAAGCTGCCTAACACACTTGTAGATCTCGGAACAGCATTGCAAATTATGGAACACCAATCAGATTTTAGGTTTAGTTTTATAGTTAGGGTCGCACAATTTAGGGAGAAAAAAATATAGCTAAATGAGATTTTATTTTATTTTTATTAATAAAATGCGATTTAAAAATCCAGATTAGATCTTTTGTGTGTAGGGTTACACAATTTGGTCAAATATTTGTGATTATATATTGATCTGGCTAAATAATAATATTAATAATAATAATAATAATAATTATTATTATTATTATTATTACAAAATAAACATATCAAAAATATTTACATTTTATTAAATAACAACAAAAGGAATAACAACATTGTAACATTCCACTGTAAAGTAAATAAGAAAAAAATAGTTAATTTTTTAAAAATGAGTATTCAAGAAAATTTATACAATAATAATAATTTTATTTTACATTACAACTGCAAAACTACAATACTAATATTTATGCATGTCTTAAAACTATATTAATCCAGCTAAAAAAAAAATTAAAAAAAATATTATAATATATAATCATAATAAGACAATTTAGAGAAAGTATTACATAAAAATAAGTATTATTATTATTATTACAAAATAAACATATAAAAATTATAAAAATTGTATGCAATAACAACAAAATAAGAAATAATAATATTGGAACATTCCACTGTAAAATATTTAAAAAAAAAAAAAAAAGTTAATTTTTTTTTAATGAGTATTCAAGAAAAATAATACAATAATAATAATTATTATTTTATTTTACATTACAACTGCAAAACTACAATAGTAATATTTATGCATGTCTTAAAACTATATTAATCTGGCTAAATAATAATAATAATAATAGACAATTTAGAGAAATTATTACATAAAAATAATAATTATTATTATTATTACAAAATAAACATATCCAAATTATTTAATTTGATTAAATAACAACAAAATAAGAAATAATAATATTAGAACATTCCACTGTAAAGTATGTAAGAAAAAAATTAGTTAATTTTTAAAAATGAGTATTCAAGAAAAATAATACAATAATAATAATTATTTTATTTTACATTACAACTGCAAAACTACAATACTAATATTTATGCATGTCTTAAAACTATCCAACTTTTATTTTGATGGAAAACCACAGAAAACCCTTAAAGTTTCTCTTTTGTTGATAAACCCAAACTCAAACAGCAAAGTTTGTGTGGAGTCGCTCCGAAACTCTGAAGATTCTGGGTCATAAGCTGTTCACGTGTAAAACTGTCACGCTTCACTCAGGCAGCTCATGTAAACTATCGAAGTACAGCACAGTCTTTCGATTTGATTATTGCACTAAGCCATATTGCGATTTCAGATTTATTTCAATTACTTATGCAGCCCTAGTTAGGGTGCAGCTAGGGTCGGATTTGGGGGCTTCAACAACATTCTTCTCAACTTATTATTTCCCTCTAGTTCCCACATTGGGTTATAGTTCAAGTTAGGAATGCATGCATAATATGCAACAGGAAATGTTCTACTTGGGTTAATCCCAGGAATCAATAACAAAAGTAACAAAACTGACATTCAGTAGTGCTAAAACTGATCAGGGTAGTGTGTCCTGAACACATCTGGGAACGTGTGACTGACCTTTGGATCTGTTGTGGGGTGATTCGGGCTCATCGCGGCGAGTACCGCGACTCATGCGGTCGGATGAGCCGTCCCTCTGCGAGCGTTCACTCCTCACGCTGCCATCACCGCGCTCAGAGCGACTGCTGCTGGAGCCACGGCCGCGGCTGCTTTCCCGTTCATCTGCACAAAGCCCATAAAACCAAGATCAGAGTCAGAAATTCTGTGGTGGGATCTCTCAGGCCGAGAGCACCTGATTTACCTCGGTCTCTCCTTCTGTCTCGGTCACGGTAGCGATCGTGGTCTCTGTCCCTGTCTCTGGATCGGTCTTTGTCTCTGCTCTTGTCTTCTTTGGAGGACGCATAAACCCCATGCTCACGTCTGTCCTTCTCCCTCTGTTGATGCTTCTGCTTGAACTCCTCACTAACCCCTCCTGGGTTTGAGGGGGTTTCTGAGCCAGTGACACGGTACTTCCTGTAGAAGCACGTAACACAAACTCATGACTGCATAGCATTTATTTATATGCTTAAGATGAGAGGTATTAGGAATTTTCTGGATGAAAAAAATGATGAGAAAAGATTATAAACTAAATAATAGTTTAAAATACATTAGAAAATATAATTACAACAATAAGAAAAAGAAGAAAGAAGAAAAAAATAAATATAGAATTTGGGAAGTAACTCACTGGATCTCATTCACTAATAATTGTGTGGATTTGTTTTTAATTCTGTTCTAATGTTAATGAAGCTGATGTTATTCGTTTGCATAAAACACGCCAAAACCATCTCCATATAAGGGCTTTCAGCACAACTTTTTCTTTTCAGCCTTTCGTCACATCCTCAAAATTCAGTAACATTGATACACTTTTAACGTCTTTGCACACCGAGTCCAAAATTCTCTTCCGAAATGTTTGCACGTTAAAAATTAAATACAACCTCACGTTGTGTCAATCATGTTTACACACTGCCTCCAAAGCTTTTGTCGGATCGGGTTCAATTTTCTGTGTTTTTTGCATCCGTAGCATTGACACAATGTGAGGTCGTATTCACTTTTTAATGTGCAAAAACATTTTACAAGAATTTTGGACTCAAGTGCAAGAACCTTTATAGTTTTTGTTAAAATTTTGGATTAATATTTACATTTTTATTTTCTTTTTATTTATTTATTTTTTAGTACCTTTTTTTTTAATGTCTACATACTTTTTGTTTTAGTTTATTCAGTTAAAATTATTCCGTTTATTTCAGCAAAAAGCTGATTTATTTTTTTTATAATTCATTTTAGTTTTGTTTTCTGCACTGTTAGACAGTAAAACCCCGCAGATTGAGCTGCTATAATGAATCTTTTGTTACTCTTTCACTGTATGTGAAGAAATTAATTTAATTTTGGGCATACAATCTGTGTACAAACTAATTATGCTTAACCAATAACTTTTTAATAACTTTAAATTTATGGAACAAAAATGTAAAAACAACTGAAACAACATGTAAACAATGTCATGTTTTTGAATCATCGCTCCGGCCGGACAGGGCATCACAGTATGGTGAGGGGCGTAATATTTCCATCACACGCTTGAGGTATTCGACCAATCACAACGCTCTGGATAGCTGACCAATCACAGCACACCTCGCTTTTCAGACCGATGAGCTTTGTAAAAATCGACGCGTTTCAGAAAGGCGGGGCATAGAGGAGAAACAATAATGTACAGTATGTGGAAAATAATGTGTTTTTTGAACCTTATAAACATTTCATTACACCAAATACACAAAACAATGTTCTGTTTAGGCAACATCCTATGACCCCTTTAACACTGTTATAAGGCCACCCACATTATGTGATTTTTGTGTGCGTGTTGCAATTTTTCATAGATATAGAATACATTTAAGTATACACATTTTAGTGAACGAGACTCACTATTCTTAAAAAAAGAAAAACTTGATGTCTCTGTAATGCAAATTATTTTCTTGATGAACAACCCACCTTTCCTTTTTCCCATTCCTGCTATCGCCATCTTCTTGATTTTCATCATCAGACCCCGAATCACTTTGTCCCTCCTCCCAGTCCTTGTAGGACGACACCTTGGATTTCTTGGGTTGATCATCCAGACTTTCCTTGCCCTCGCGCTCCTTGCGTTTCTGTGCGGCCAGCAGATCGAGGCCCAGGAGCGAGGTTCGTGGAGCGGGAGCTCTGAACACATGCTGTTCTGTTGAAGCACTCTTCTTCTTCACTATCAGCCCCCCGACCTGAACACTGGGGTCACTCCCTTCCAGTCGATGCAGGGAGGAATCATCTTCCATCTCTGCTGAGGTCTTGTCCACAGCACTCAGCTGATGGATTTCTGGTAAAGGATCTAAAAGAGGTTGCCAAAAGTTACTAATGTGGGTCAAAAACACAGTCTTTATGATCTAGGTAAACACATGCTGATAAAACATGACATTAATATGATTTCATGTGATTTAGGATAAGTCAAAAACTGGAAAATGTACGTTTAAGTGTTAACTTGTCATATAAATGTGTCTAAAATGGCCCCTGAACAATTCAAGCGGCAAGTTTTGCCACATGCCACTGCAAAAGGTCATTTATAATACTGATAGTTCCTGCTGATGGTTAAACGGCTGACTGATGTAACGTTACACGATGAAGCTCTTTATGTTTGCTATTGTAACTTACAGCAGTACTGTGAGAAACTCCTCATTCACAAGAGAAAACAAAACGGGTTTACCTTTCGAACGATGTTCTCAGATGCCAGTCATATAAGTTCCTCAAACCTGTTCTACACGGTATGATGAAACTTATGTAATGTATGATATAATAACAACACTCAATGAAATAGCATAGCGGTAAACGTCAACTGTGTGTACAGTAGGCCGCCATTACAATCCCAGCATTCACAGCTTAGTAACGTCACATCCGATTCCTGAATTAATCACTATTGGGAACCGGCTGTTTCAAACGATTCATTCAAGCGTTCGTAAATTATTGTACGAACCGGCGAAATGTCGCAGTTCATTGCGTTTTTATATTCGCGAAGCTCATTGAAAACGTGTTGATAACAGCATGTTAAACAAGCGCTGCTCGTGGACGCCTGGAAACATTTTTGCGTGATGACTAGCGAATTGGTGATTCAATTGAAACGACTCGTCCGAAAGAACCGATTCACTTCAATGAGTCAGACTTAACAACTTCAAAACATTTCTTTCTCACATGAATAGTTTCCCAGCATACTTCATTATTTATTTTAATTTCATTCATTTATTTATTTCAATCTCTTTTCTTGAAAGTGTGTGAAAGCACAGAATCATACAAATTATTGTATTTCTATGCCGTGCAAAGGCTCCGGTTCAGTTACTGGCATATTTACAGTGAATCATATTTAGTAATTATTTTTTGCGAAGCTGCTTGCGACAATCTTGTAACCACACAGAGTGAAGACAAAGCTAAATCATTTTAATCATGTTTATTGTAATCATGTAGTGCCATAACTCATGGCGTTCAAAAGCGTACTTCATTTTTTTAAGCACAAAATGATTTTAAATTAAGTCAAATTTAAAATATACAGAAATAACCAGTAACACATGCACTGTCACATATTGTTATACCATCCAAAAACACTTTAGCACTAATACTACCTATGCATCTCCCTGATTTTGTCCAGTCTAAAATACCATATACAAAGAATGATTACATACTGCACAAATAAATTTGCATTTTTAAACATTTATTGAAACCTTTAACAAACACACACCGATTCAGTAAATCAGTCATATTCACGATGACATGCCACAAATAATCCTAATCTGATAGATAAATTAGAATTTGTAATTAAATATATGACTGAGCAATAATAAAGGCCTTGAACTCTGATTTTTCCTGTTGTTGAACTGAAAGAGCAGATAGGGATCTATAGACGAACACACTTGTTCTTTTCCCACTATAATTAAATTATGATGACATTAATATGTGAGCCAATGAAAAAAAACATGACAATGTCATCAATAACTATACATATGCACACAAACATGAACATCAATCGTTAGACATAGCTGAACACATTGACTCGGCCTGGCAGGAAAATAATTAATTTGCACATTTCTTGGGGCAGGAATGTCAAATGATTTTAAAAGGCAAACACAAATATGACACTCGGAATAAAACTCAGAGAAAAAAAAAAAGATCTACGAAGAGAAATGGTTTGTATCATCCAATAGTAATGATGCATGCGGATTATTCAAATATATGACTACATAAATGCATAATAATGACTCACTCAATGCGTTTCATTAAAAACTATTTAAATGCAATATTGTTTGGAAAAGAAATGCAAGATTTAACAACAAGTACAGAAAAGAAGCAAACAAAAGTAGACATTTTGGTTTACTTATACTTTTGAACGTTAAGGGCAACACTTGCATATAATGATTTTTCATGACCTGACCTAATTCCAAGAGAAGCTAGAATATACATGCAAGTGCTTGAAATGCTAAGAACAATTCATTAGAGAAGCATATGCATAAGAGTAATGAACAGGTACTCTACAAGCTGTACAACGGTTCATGTATCACACACTTCCCAAAACTAATGTTCTTACCGACAATGAAATAAATTGTTAAAAAAAATCAACATTTAAAGATCTCTCAAATGCATTACAAAAAGGCTGAATAATGGAGTCGATTTCAAGTTGGCAGATACAGGTAGCACACTATAGAAATCTTCATTGTAAGAAAGGAGTGTAAAATGTAACAAAGCACTGTATGACTGTAACTCTATGCTACGTTTCAGCAATTGCACATCCGTGCAAAAGTGATATGACATTTGGAAAAAAATAAAATAAAAATGACAATATTTTCGAGTTCTCCTTATAGGGATAGTTCACCCAGAAATGAAATTCTGCCATCGTTTACTCACCCTCATATCCGTTTGACTTACTTTCTTCTGTGGAACATCAATTTTTTTTTTCCCGTCTCCATACAATGGAAGTCAATGGTGACCAAAACTTGGTCATGGTTACCAACATTCTTTAAAATATCATTATTTTGTGTTTTTCACAGAAGAAAGAAAGTCGTACAGGTTTGGAATGACACGAGGGTCAGTAAATGACAATTTTCATATTTGGGCGAACCATCCCTTTACACCATGTTGCATTTAAAACAGCAATGTCTTTATAATAGCACGACTCCACGCTCTTCTCTTGGAGATGTACTGTATCTTTCAACTCCACTTGAATCATTTGGTCAACATCCTTGGGTAATAACCCAAGGCAATTCACTGACAAACATCAATCAGCAGCTATGTGAAGACTGTGGACGTGTGATTTGTCAAAATGATCAGAGAATTAAAATCCATTAGCAAAAGTCGGACCTGTCCTGAAGGGCCTGATCTTTTCAACTACACTCTAGATCAGGGTTCCTCAAATCTTTCCCTGGAAGGCCAATGCGCTGCAGAGTTTAGCTCCAACCCTGATCAAACTCAGCTATCTGTGATTGTCTAATGATCCTGAAGACATTGATTAGCATGCTCAGGTGTGTTTGATTAGGGTTAGAGCTAAACTCTGCAGGAAAGTGGATCTCGTGGGCCAGATTTGAGGATCCCTGCTCTAGATTAATTTAAAGGAGTTGAAGTCATTTCCAAGTACATTTCTAAAAACGTGTGACAATCCGATGACAGAAAGCGTGATCAAGATAATGCTTAGATAATGGTTAGACAGGACTGTGAATTCTAGTAGGAAAAAAAAAAAAGTTGAAATGAACCAATGGGCTTTGGACCTTTTCCAAATAGCTAGTTGAGTGGAAACTAAAGAAGAGAGGATGAGCAGGAGTTTAGAGAGTGATCTTGCGGACTCACTCACTCAAACAAGTCAAGGCCTCCAGACAAGAGAAATATATATCGTGACAAAGTGTTCAGGAGGATTTGTGCTCCAACATGTAGTAACGGTACATGACGCCCACGAGTACAGCAGCTACGGCGGGAATCAACCAGGTGGTCCATGACCTGAGCAAATAACAAACAGTGGTTTAAAAAAAACTAAACAAGCATGAGTACCATAGTTTATGCAGAACATATTCTGAATTCTCACCTGGAGTCTTTGGAAGTGGTGATGTAAACTTCCTAGAATGGAAATGTGATAAAGCGAGCAAACATTAACAAACTGCAACAACTTTTACATGACAGTCAATATGTTTGCGCATCAGTCACAAAGGTCATGGTATTTAAAAAATAATAATAATAAAAGTACCTTTTTTGATTCTTTCTTTCGATCATCCTGAAACGGACAAGTAGCTAACTACGAATCCACCATTGCCTGTGAAGTGAATGTGCTGTTTTGAGTAATGAATGAATTTGTATGGGACATGCATGAGTTTCCCATGCTCCACACATAACTTAAATTCGACATTAGAACGTTAGAAATCCATTCCAGTATTTCCGGTTTGCATAAAGGCTCGTCCTGGCAGTGAGTCTCAAACTCCATTTTAAATATCACAAACTTCAATTTGCACACTGTTTGGACAATACCGAGCGAGATGTAGAATCACTTTTTTTTTATAAAATACCAAAACATAAAATTTGGATTTTTAAATCAGACATAATCGATTATCAAAATAACAGTAGTTGCAGTCCTAGGCTAGACGATTATTTTCACAAAAATGTCACGTACAAGTTGGAACAAAACACTTTCTAAAGACTTTCTTGGCTCATCTTTAAACCAATAAACCTTTAAGAAAAGCAAGCAGCACTACCATATGTAGTTCGCCGATGTAATACTGCTGGAGCATCTCTCTGGCATCTGTGGAATGACCCACATCCTCAAAGCTTTCTGTTGCATCTGCACCTGCTTGCTCTAGCAGAACCTCTTCACCTCCTGGATGCTGTCAAAGAAAAGAAGACAAAGGTTTATAAATGATATCCTTTGGACACCGGCACTGCGTGACATGATGACATCTGTTGCACAATATTCAACCTCTAATCTCTCTTTACAATTCAAAGGTTATGATACAAACAATGGTGAGAAAGTTTGACACTCTGGCAACTAACATCAAGATTTCGGTGTAAGCCTTTTGTACAAAACATGTTAATGGAAGGGTTAGAATCCAAGAACCGGTTCTTATAGTGTATTAATGCACTTTTGGTTCCTGGAGTGTTTTTTGTTTTTTTTCTCTCCATTCATTTTTTTCCATAGGGATTTTAAAATAATTCCTTAGTATTCCTGTAAAATTTAAAATGCCTAAAAAAAGGCATACCCAAAGTAAATTGCATGCTGTTCTTGAACCTCTCTTTTGAAAGGTGACACTCTGAGGTTTGTTCCTTAACCCGAACAAACCTCAGAATCACTGGAAGTCTTACTGGTATTGAGTAACACAACTTTGAACACACTGAAAAAGGGGGGGGGGGAATAAAAACATTCCACCTACTTTTTTTTTTTTTTTGTAAAAACACAATGGGATCACAACATGAAGCGTTGTTGGCAGTCTGACAAAAACACTGATTGTACCTGCTGTGCTGGTTGTATCTTAATTTTTTTTTTTTCGTATGTCACGAAGTTAACCCTTAAAAACATGCAGTGTACCGCGGGCGTGGTCCAGGAAGTGGATCAGAATATTACAACCACTCATTAGAAAATAAATATGTAAATACGGTACTTAACAGCTTTAAAGAGGGACAGAACTACAATCCCATGAAGTATTGTGTATGACAATGAACTTAACAGTGATGGAAAAGCATAGTGATTTAAAGACGATGATTATACATATAGAGAGAATATAGTTTGTTTACTGCATAGCATATATTTAAAAAGCGTAGTAAGACAGATTCCCACGTCATTCACAGTGCTTCATAGGAGCGAGCAAGAATGTGCAATTTGCTTGTTGGGATTCTTTGATGGTG